TAGGATTCGACTAAGAAAATGTCAGGAAAGACCTTCTAGGACAGCTGAACTTTATTTATTATTTATTTATTTATTTCAGGTACTTATATAGCGCCGTCAATTTTCGCAGCGCTTTACATATATATATTGTACATTCACATCAGTCCCTAACCCTCAAGGGGCGTACAATCTAAGGTCCCTAACTCACATCCATACACACACATATTAGGGACAATTTAGACAGGATCCAATTCACCTACCAGCATGTCTTTGGAGTATTTGGGGTTAATCAATGGCACTTTAAATGATGGCAGGTGTGTACTGACTCCTATTTAACATGATTATGAATGTGATTGCTTAATTCTGAACACAGCTACATCCCCAGTTATAAGAGGGTGTGCACACTTACGCAACCACATTATTTTAGTTTTTTATTTTTACTCCCCCCCCCAAAAAAAAAAGAAATTTAAGTTTGTTTTTCAATTGAGTTGTACAGTTTATAGATCACAGTAAAGGTGGAAAAAGTTCTGAAATTATTTATCTTTGTCTCATTTTTTTAAATCACAGAAACCTGACATTTTAACAGGGATGTGTAGACTTTTTATATCCACTGTAGGTCTGTACTGGCAACCAGAAAGTTAATAATTTGGGATCTGATAGTCTTCTTGTACACAGCCAAGTGGGTGTGGATTAATCTTATGCCAGGCTCTTAGGCAACAAAAAAATTTAACAAATTTTGCATCAGTCACATGTGTCTTAATGAACATACGTTTAATATTCTTATATTAGCATTCTTTACTGGATCATAGCTTTTGTTGTAAACTTTTTGTTACTTTTATAGATACTGTTACATTGCCTTGGTTTAAAATTTTGCTATATTTATACGGTATCTAAATCACTCAGATTATCATGTGAGATAGGCCAGCCCAAGATTTTTCTTCAGTGACTTTTGAGGCTAATTCCTTCTCCCATGTCTTTCTATGTGTCAGTGTGAATTTGCTAATGGAAGTGAATGACACCAGGCACGGAGCTGGAACAGCTGAGCTAATGCTCCAAGCATTCTTTTAGGACTGGCTGGGGGAGGGAACACATGGCTAGCATTTTTCCATTTCTCAAACCCTATTTACACACACAAACACACACTCACATACACGCAGAACATGGTATCATACTAAAAAAATGTCTAAATTCCAGGAAACTGGGGAAGTCTGTCTGAGGACCCACAAGCATGTGCATGTGATTGTGTGTGTGTTTGGGAAGGGGGGAAATAGTGTAAATGTGATCATTTAATCTGCAGCTCACTGCTGTGTTTGAAGGCATACTATGTGTATTGTTCTCTGTCATATGTAAAATGCTAAAAACGAGCTTATAGTATAAATAACTCACATTGTACAGCATTGAAACTCCAGATGGTGATGGCCATTGAAATTCAAATTCTGCCTTCCAAAATATAATCTAGCATTTATTTTTCATTCTGTGCTTATTACTAGATGATTCATTACCCATAGGGTATAGGGAATGAGGGTAATGAACTAAAAGCTTAAATAATTACTTGCACAGAAATGCAATAATGGAAAAAACACAAAATAAGCAAAACACAAGATTTTGTAACACATGTAGTATAGATAGTCACTGATAGTTATTTATCTTTGTATATATGGGTCCTTTCACAAGGATGCATCTGATGTGTCTATACAGGGGCATACATTATTATTATTTATTATACAGGATTTATATAGCGCCAACAGTTTTCTCAGCACTTTACAATATAATGGGAAGACAATACAGCAACAATACAGTTCAATACAAGAGGGATAGGAGGGCCCTGCTCCTTGGAGCTTACATCTTGTGGTACCCCTGCAGCACTGCCTTTACTTTATCTTTAAAGAAAAATTCTAGGTATACATATTATTACGAGGGGTGTTCAAGTGAAACCGGGACTTTTCATTTTACAGGTATAAAACGGGATGGTAGCGTGGTAGTACTACATGCAGTAGAAAGTGGAAAGTGAGTCCTATCACTGATAGGCAGTGCACATATCATGGGCCAGTCCAGAAATCGCTACTCAAGATGGCAGACAACAGTGTTAGTGCGTGCATGGAACAGTGTGTGGTGATGAAGTTTCTTGTGAATGACAGCATAAAATTTGTGGATATATACTGAATCCTTCAAGCATAGTGCAGTGATGAGACGCTCAGCCACAGTAAGACATTTGAATGGCGTAATAATTTCAAAGATGTCCATACGTCCATCAGTGTTGATCCCAGCTGTAAGAAAAATTAATAATAGCGCCTATGGTCAAAATTATATAACTTACTAATAGTGTACCAGCTGCAAAAAATCACCATATATAAAAAGTGTACCAATAAATAAATAATTTGCGCTAGTAAATGTGTATAAAAATATAAAAATCATAAAGAAATCATCAAATCATAAGTCCAGAAAAAAATATATATATGCCAATACCACAAAAAAAAATAAAAAAAAACTTTTAAGTGCAAAAAACTTTTGTGCAAAAAAAGTGTCTAAATATAAAAAAATTTTTCACCAAAAAACCTTGATAATATAATGGCAGATCATCCATAAATATATCTTCAGAAACGGAAACTCTGCAACACACCGATCCTCATCGATCGAAATAACAGGATGAAAAACTTTGTAGTTAATCGAAAATCCACTTCTCCAATAGATAAAGGACCACCTTCAAACGTATCCATGGGGGGAAATGCCAAGCACTCGAGAGAAACAGAAAGACTTCATGGTGCAATATTATAAAAACCAATTCCTTTATTAGGTACTCATTGCACTTACTCAAGAGGTGTCCCAGCCGACACCAGCATCAACTGCATAACAGCAATCACATAAACGAGCCTGGCTACTCAGCACATGCGCAGTAGCTGGCAGCCAAAAACGTAATGACGTCACATCAATCAAGCTCCGCCCTACGCGTTTCGTCATCGACGTCCTCACGGAGCGGATAGATGTGAGACGTCTCAACCTCCTTAAATATTCACTCACAGGAAACGAACAGCTGACATCAATGGGGAATCAAGCAAAGCAAGCCACCCCACAGATGACAGGAGTCCACAAAGGATATACAATGTATCCAATATATTTGCCATCACAAGCAAAAAAACTTTAAAACAAGAGAACAAAAATAGAATAAAAAGAAATTTAAATAAAACACTAATGATAAATAAATTAAATAAATACATTAACGGGCCAGCACCCTCTAAGACTGTGTTTCAAAAAGGGAACTTAAAGGGGGGCCAGTGTTTAAAACACTTTGAAAAACACAAATAAAGGGGAACTCTAGAGTTCCCCTTTATTTGTGTTTTAAAGTGTTACATGAAGTCTCCTTTGTTCTGTTTCTCTCGAGTGCTTGGCATTTCACCCCCATGGATACGTTTGAAAAGGTGGTCCTTTATCTATTGTGGTAGAAGTGGATTTTTCGTTGATTAACTACAAAGTTTTTCATCCTGTTATTTCGATCGATGATGGGATGAAGGTGGGTGTGTTGCAGAGTTTCCGTTTCTGAAGATATATTTATGGATGATCTGCCATTATATTATCAAGGTTTTTTGGTGAAATTTTTCATATTTTAGACACTTTTTTTGCACAAAAGTTTTTTGCACTTAAAAGTTTTTTTTATATATTTTTTTGTGGTATTGGCATATATATTTTTTTTTCTGGACTTATGATTTGATGATTTCTTTATATATATTTATATATTTATACACATTTACTAGCGCAAATTATTTATTTATTGATCCCAGCTGTGGTGGTTTCCAGCCCACAGCAGTCATTCCTGTAAACATTCAGCATGTGGAACGCCTGATCCTGGATAATTTATGCATAACCATGAAATTGCACAAGAGATGAATCTTTCTATGGGAACAGTGAACACAATGATGATGAAGTGAAGCAGGCTGTCGTAGGATGGTTCAGACACACTGACAGATCTATCTATGCTGAAGCTTTCCAGGCCTTAGTTAAATGCTGGGATAAGTGTATAAATGTAGCAGAGGAGTATGTCAAAAAATAAATGCAGTTTCCACTTTTTGAAATTTGTTCTTTTATTACATAAACTCAAAAGTTCTGGTTTGACTTGAAAGCCCCTCGTACATAGTTATATGTAACTATGCATATACCATACCTGTGGGATCCCTCTAAAAGCTAGATATCACTGTAGTAAGCATCATTACTCTAGTTATCTCCACTAGCTTCTGGGTCCCTGGTCAAGAAGCTGGCTTGTTGCATTGTAAACACAGGAACTTTGTAACTTGGTGTGGGCACTATTCAGGGAAAGCTTTGCATTTGAATGAATGCAAAGCATTCTATGATTGGATGAAGGGAAGAGGTGGGTGGTGATATCACATGCTCTACATCGTCCAATCACAGAATGCTTTTCATTGACAGTGCAGCAGGGCAGCTGCCTGTCCAGGAACCCGGAAGCTGGTGGAGATCACTGGTGTAGAGGTTCATACTACAGTGATTTCCAGCTTTTAGAGGGATCCCATAGGTATAGTTCAAGTTGGACCAATGCAACTATGTAAAAACTATTTTTCTGGAACATTTATCAACTTTTCAAAAACATTTGCGGTGTTATTTATAGAAGAAATAAATGGAGGCAGTTTGCGATTGTGTAAAAGTGTATTGTATTCAGGGTAGTAATTTATAATACACCTTTCTGACTTTGCATGATGTACATGTTAAAAAGGTGATTATAAAGGATAGGATGCTATAGGAGCTAAACAAGATATCACCTGTTCTGTGATTAGGCAACGATATGGTAAAAAAATGTTGACTCCACTTAACCGCCTCCCGCCGCCATATAAGGTAATGACGGGTGCAAGGCGGTTCTCTCGTTCTTTGAGGACGTCATATGATGTCCTCCTGCTCTAACCGCACGTGCACAGCTCCGGGAGCACACAGCGTGGCGAACGGGGGGTGCGCTGTTTCCCTCGGATACAGCGATCACCGATCAACGGAAAGAGCCGAAGATGTCGGCTCGGTCATGTGATCAGCTGTGTCCAATCACAGCTGATCACATGTAAATAGGGAAATGCCACTTGTCGGCATTTCTCTCCTCATGAGCTGTCACGCTGACAGAGGAGAGGAGAGCCAGTAATCGGCATCCCTGAGAGGGGATAAGTACACTGATCATCAGGGCACTGATGATCAGTGTGCCCTGATGATCAGTGTAGCCCCAGCGAGTGCCACCTGTCAGTGCCCATCAATGCCAGCTGTCAGTGCTCATCAGAGCCTCATCGATGCCACATATCAGTGCCTACCAGTGCACATCAATGCCACATATCAGTGCCCATCTGAGCTGCCTTTCAGTGCCACCTATCAGTGCCAGTCAGTGCCACCTATCAATGCCAGTCAGTGCCACCTATCAAGTGCTGCCAATCATTGCTGCCTATCAGTGCCAGTCAGTGCCGCCTATCAGTGCCAGTCAGTGCTGCCTATCAGTACCGCCTAACAGTGTCAGGCAGTGCTGCCTATCAGTGCCATCAGTGCCTATCAGTGCCAGTCAGTGTCGCCTTTCAATGCCCATCAGTGATGCCTGTCAATGCCCATCAGTGCCACCTACTAGTGTCTCCTCATCAGTGCCACCTATTAGTGCCCATCAGTGCAGCCTATCAGTGCCCATCACTGCAGCCTCAGCGCACATCAGTGAAGCAGAAAAATCACTTATTTACAAAATTTTATAACAAAAACTAAGAAAAAACTTTTTTTTTTTTTCAAAATTTTCAGTTGTTTTAGCAAAAAATAAAAAACCCAGAGGTGATTAAATACCTCCAAAAAAGCTCTATCTGTCTCAAAAAAATGATAAAAATTTCATACAGTGTTGCATGACCGCGCAATTGTCATTCAAGGTGCGACACTTACATCTGAACAACCCATGGGCTTCAGCTTCTGCACACTATCCCACATTTCTGAGTGTATTGCATAATGTGTCTCCACTATCTACTTCAGCCTCAAGCCATTTCTGGCACTTTTTGTTTACATTTAAAATCAGTATTTTTTTCTTGAAAATGTCTTAGAAGCCCCAACATTATATATTTTTTTAAAACAGAGGCCCTACAGAATATATTGGTGCATTTTTTATGTCACATAGTATTTGCACAGTGGTTTGCAAACACAAAAATACACTTATTTGAATTTTATTGCAAAAAAAACACAATAAATGACCCAGTTTTTGTGAATTATAAAAGATTATGTTACGCTGAGTATATCGATACCAAAACTTGTCACACTTTAAAATTGCGCATGCCCGTGCAACAGCACCAACCACCTTAAATTTTACTCTTCATTGATGCCTCTTTTAAAGCCTTTACAGGTTACCACTTTAGATTTGCAGGGGAGGTCTAGTGCTAAAATTACTGCCCATGATCTGATGTTCGTGGTGATACCTCACATGTGTGGGACAATCGCTGTTTGTGTGTGTATGGTGACCGGTGTGTGCATTTACCTTTGTGCATGAGCACGGAGGGACAGGGGAACTTTAATTTTTTTTTTTTTTTACACTGTTGCTTTAAAATATTGTGAAGACAGTGACGATTCTGTGACTGAGCTAAGGGATGTGTGAACTTGGTGCGCTATTGACTGTGGTACAGATCAGGCAGCGCCCCCAAGATTCCCATTTACTGGAGCACCTGG